TACAAATATCGGCTGAACAGTGCGGTCGGCGGTATGAATTCACTTATTGCATTAAATAGTTGCAAGGTTAAAGTAGCTATGATGCTTACACCGATCAGAGGCTGAACAGAAACGAAAATCTGTTAAAATTATTGCAGCACCAGGCAACAGTAAGGAGATTGGACAGCTAATGCTTTGCGGCTATTCACAGAAATTTCGTGTGGGCGAATGGAAGAATGCCAACTTTTCGCCCAACCATACGCCTGAGAGGATGGGATGAGGTTTCAACCGACATTAAGGGGAGGATGAATTTCATTCGTGGGTCAAATGCCAAATACCTTTAGCACCAAGCCCAGTTCCAATTAAAACGAGGGCTACCGAAGTTACAAGAAAAAAATACAGAAGAGGCGGACAAGATTACCACATAAGTTGGCACATACTAGGGACAGGTCGTCGGGGGGAAGGGGGGAATTGATAACGAGCATATAAATGCTTTCAGATTAGAATAGCCAAAAAGTGGAATACGATTCAAATGTCCAACCAAAATAAAATTTGAAATGACATCACTCACTTTAAAAAGAAGCATGGAATTGTGATAATTAAAACAGGGAAGTGGAAACACAGTTTTTAAAGCAATATGGGCAAGAAAGTGTGAATTCACGTATACACGAGCCCATCCCTGTACTTATACATGCACGAATTCTGTCTGGAAGAATGGCCATTTCGGCTCTACACCCTCTCTGCGGTGCACGAAGCAAGCAGCCACAATGTGTGCCAAACGCGTTTCATTTTGCTCGTACAGATACGAATGTGTGGCTAGTCTGTGAGGACGGAAGTTCACACAGAACTCAGGGTGCCATATGCGGACATAGGATAGGGTGAGAGACAGACGGAAATGTGTCAGTAAAATGCAAATTCACACGAATTCTGTACCAACTGTTCACGCAATTGTGTCTCACGGCTGGGATATCGTCATGCGCCGCCTCAAAGTGTTGTGGATGCGGAGGCCGGCTTCAAGGCGTCGTCAAGAAGCTCAGATGGAAGAATGCGTATAAATCCATGACTCCTGACGTACGTTGACACACACACAAAGAAATCCGACAGTGGCTGAAGAGCTTCGTCCGGTGATAGGGCGTCTGAAAAGGAGCCAGTAGACGCTCTGTTCCACAAAGTGGTTCATAGTTCGACTCTTTTTCGTCCAATGTTGCTCCACTTTACCGTCACATTCAGGCTGAAGCAGTCCCAGAGACAAACAAACATCAGGGTGGCCGGAAATCATTCCAACGCATTATTGTCAAATATACTCACAAAAAGATTAATGTAGGTGTGTATGTGTGTATTTGTGTGTATATGGGCACGCGTGGATTGGAAGAGGAGCACCTCGATGGTACCATGTCGGACACATCCGAAATCTTGTTAATAAACTTTTTCACTCAACTTCCAGGATGAAACTTGCATTGAGTGTGTGAAACACAGCGGACCAACGCCATCAACAGGTCAGTGTGCCTGTACCACGACTGAAGGAATGGAGGATGACAAGAAGATTGGTACCGGAGGTGAGCCGGTTAATTGGGGGTTCATGAGGCCGCCGTCCCATTTAGCGATTGCTTTGCACAGCTTCAAAGCTCTCCGAGTCGGTAGGCTCTGCCACTTTTCTTCGTTGCTATCGCAAACAGGCGTGACATTGTTGGGCGCGATTAAGTTGCCAAGCTCGATCGGAGCCGCAAGTGCCGATTGTCCGGCAATTGTCGCCTGATCCCGATCAACCCCTCCGCGTCAGAGTGAAGAAGACTGCTTTAACAAAACTCTAAAAAAGTGTATCAAAGACCGCCAGGCTCTGGAGGCATTCTTGAAGGCGCGATGCACCAGTTTCGAATGGTCTCTTCTGGACCTGTCCACGAAGACGTGAATAGAACACGTGAGTCTTGCCATGCATCCCAATGAGCGGGTTCGAGCTCTGGACGTGTAGGTTAAAGGGCCGAATAGCTCTAAATTCTCTCAACTCTTTAATGCTGTGGAGCAATATTTCCTGAAAGAAGGCAATAAGAGAGCAGCTGAGAAGATTGTGTGTATGCACATCTTCATCAGAAAGTCGACGGTTCGAATTCTGCCAGCGCTGCTGAGGAGACAGCTGGAAGCCGAACCTTCAGTTGAGTCTGGAGGAGATCGGTCTTTTGGAATGTTGACAAAGTGAAAAGTGAATGCCAAACTCGAGCACGTTGTGCACTTTGTCGTGGACAGATTCACTTTTAGTCCAAAAAAACAAATCAGTCGAAATTTGCTCATCTTCCGTAGCCATCAGGTTCTTGATGGATACGAAAAAAGCTAGCTCCAAGGCACTGTTTTTCGGGGTTCCGTATAGAACAATTTTTCATTAAGAATGAAAAGTGCAACAAAATGAAACGAAGGTATTCAGTAAAGCCCGGTTTTCCATCGTGTTTACAAAAAATTGTTATTCCATACACTCCGAGACAAAGGATCAGACCCATTTCGACTGTAAGGCAAGACAAAATTAAGGTTTCTCGGACAATGTCATCTCAAGAGATTAATCGAAAAACAGTTACTCTTCATACCTACAATATTAACTTAATTTAATTTACTTTTATTCTATGCTTGGATTCAACAGCCAACAGCTGGCCTAACGTCGTTTGAAGGCAATTTTAATCTGGATTGAAAATATATACCTCAACAAAATTGTGGAGAATGGTCTATAGACCTTTCGCGAGAACACTTAATCAACGAAGGTGCCTAAAATCTTCCTTACTCCATCCTCGCGGAAGCCTTGTCGAGG